TTGTCTTGGGAATGCAGTTTAGGGTTTAGGGTTTAGGGTTTAGGGTTTAGGCATGAGTGCAACTGAGAGCCCGAAGACCCGATCCGCATACCCTCGAAATGAATCCACGGCCTATAGTGCATATATCGTCATATATCCATATTGCTTTAAGCTTGCACATGTGTCTATGTATGTATGAATGGATGTGTGTAGGTAGGTATTTATGTAGGTAGGTAGGTAGGTAGGTAGGTAGGTAGGTAGGTAGGTAGGTAGGTAGGTAGGTAGGTTAGGTAGGTAGGTGTATATACATATAATATATGCATGTATGCATGCATTCACGCATGCATGTGTGTGTATGTATTCACATGCAGAGACGCATCTATCTATATCGTGTATGCAACGGTGCATAAAGCATCGCATCTGGGCATGGCGCCATGTAACTCCAGCATGTCCTCCACAAGCTCCGAAATCTCTTAGATAGGATTTGAAGACCACCCCTTACTGCCAATGTTTGCGGATCAAGTTCTGAAGGTGCACTTCAACTCGTTGAGTCACTCCTTTCCTCAGGCCGCTCCGATGCCGGCGGGGCCTGGGGCAGTGCCAGCAAGCTCTGCAGGGGTGCACGGACATTGCTGCGACAGAAGTTCCATCTTTAAGGTGTCAACTTACGTAGGGACCTGAATCATTACTACTGTACCTTAGGGATCCTTTCCAGTTCTACCCCAAGACCCTACTCTAATGTTCAAGTCCGGCTGCATTAGGTTGTGAGGGGTTGGCTTAGGGCCACTAGACCCTAAACCCGAAAGGTTCAGCCATTCTGCGTGTTTTAAGGTAGCAATGTCCTTGTAACTTTACTACAGATATTTAAAATCCGAACCCTAGTCGAATCTGCAGTAGTGGAATTTGGTTTTGAGGTGTAAGGCTTCAGGTAATTTGAGGATTCGCAGCAGTTCGTCTCGGGGCACGGCATCTTAAGCTCGGCAACTACCATGAAGGTCTTCCCAGTATAGACCGCAGTATGTTAATTGCTTCAGAACTCTCATGACATACGCCTTACCGATCCGATCTGCCCTGCTTGAGCGAGCTCCAGTGCTCGACCTTTGCGCAAAAGAGACGGAGCTGTTGGCATGGTTGGAAACCCACCAGGACAATTATAAAGAAGACACGGTGGAATACTGGGTTATGGAGAGACTGTCAGAACTTCTGGCAGGAGGAGAGGATGACACCATTGGCCTGCTGGCGGCCATTGATGTATTTTGCGAGGCTTGAAGAGGAGGAAGAATGGCGAAGCTAAGTCCCTCACAGTCGGCTTTGCCAATGTCACAACATACAGGTCTCAACGTTTGGAAACAGTCTCGCCTGACAGTCCTTAATGATGCTAGAATACACCCCCAAAGCCCTGCTCTTTTGGTTCGGCCCCTATACTACACAGGCCTCATCCTAGAATACACCCCCAAAGCCTTTACTACATAGGCCTCATCCTAGAATACACCAAAACCCTACTCTTTAGGTAAGGCCTCTAAACTATACAGGCCTTATGAATCTACTATAGAAGCCTAAATAATTACCAATATTATTCCTTAGGGTTCCTTATGATAATAATAGTACAAAGGAGACCACAGCCTTATTATAAGTATTCAGGCCCCTATATTATGTGCTCTAGGCCCTACACCCTAAACCCTAAACTCTAAACCCCCTATCCACATTACTTGTCCATGGGTGCACCCGGAACCAAGGGCGACAAGTCCCCGGGGAAGAGTCAGCGAAAGTGCCCAGCCACGGTGGCGTTTAGGGTTTAGGGTTCATAAGTTTAGGGTTCAGGTTTCAGGATTTAGGCTTACGGGTGTTGTGGTTAAGTCTTATGTTTCTAGGTGTTTGGCTTCGCCGGGTTTATGTGTAGGCGGCGAGCATTGAAGCTGTAACATTCATGGCATGTTTCCTTCTTATACAAAATGTAAAACTCCCCCTTTAGTGCCTGTATACAGCGACTCTACATATATATATATATATACACACACACCTCAAAGTGCCAAGTGTTCCGACTGCAGAGACCTTAGTATCAGTATGTTCGATCAAGCGACGTCGGAAGTCGCCTCTGGACTCATAGCTCACGCGGCTTAGGGTGCAGGGTTTAGGGCTTTAGGGTTTAGGTCCAGTCGCTACCCGAACAAATTCTATCCGACCTGCATAGCTTACCTAATACAGAACGGCAGTAGCCAAACAGTGTACCCGAGCTTAAAGCGCTTGACACGATTGGAACTGTTGTCAACCGTACACTTGTGCTATTGTCAACAGTCAAATCAGCATTTACGAATTGTAATGCTTTTACGGAGATTTAGTAACGGTTCGGGGTTTAGGAGTAGCAGTCGTATCCGACCCTGTGGGTTTTTGGTATTGGGCAGTTGGGTTCGAGGTTTTGGCATGCTCCGGCCACAAAGCCTTGTTAGACACTGCGGTGGGCTTGTAGTTTTGGGTTGCTGGGTTCAAGGTTTCGGGCTCATGAGGTTACTCACCAAGCATAGTCACCTAGCCCGGCCCGAAAAAACTTTGCTCTACCGGATTCTGCCAAGCTGCACACTCTCTGCGCTGCATCTGCATCACAACCAATAGACCTTGGTTCAGGTACACCTGCCGCTTTATCATCGGGATTGAGAACGACAAAGATTTCCAGGCAGAGCTTGGTTGAGGGTATGGTTCAGAAACTCTAAACCCTAAACCCTTGGACCCTAAACCATGATGGTTCAGGGGTTGAAGGTTCAGGAGCTTAAGGTTTACGGCTTTCGGGGCTCATGCGGCTTGTGATGCAAGCTAGAGGTATGGTTGTGCTGACATGTCTGCCTGCATGTAGATGCGTCTGTCTATGTGCACATGGACTGGACGGGTGTCCGAAAAAATTAAGGCCCTAGACCCTAAACCCTAAAGCCGAAACCCCTAAACCCTAAACCGAGAGCACATTTTACGAAGCCGTGATCGAAATTCGTCCGCTTTTCCAGGCTCTCCCTCTCAGCCCTCAAGCTGAGGCCTTTCGGCTTTCTTTCACCCTAAAGGTTTTGGGTTTTGGATTTCGGGTTCAGGGTTTAGGGTTTAGGGTTTATGGTTTAGGCCATAACCCCTGAAGGCCGGATGCCCTCATGCCATATACTCCTGAGCCAAACTGCGCCCTGAAATCCTTCGCGGTTGGAACCCTCAAGCCCTGAACTTAAACCCTAGCCCAAAGGCTCTAAACCCTGAGCCGTAACGCAACCCTGACCCTATACCCCCCGTAAACCTTACATCACTAAGCCCTCGAGCCTGCATGCCTCCGATCCGGAATTATCTTGCATTCCTGCGAGGTGGCGCGTCGCATTATCGGTGCCAAGGGCACGAACATGAAACGCTGGTATCTCAGACCCCAAAACCCTAAATGCTGCACCCTAGACCTCAAACCCTGAACCCTAAACCCTAAACCCTGAACCCTAAACCCTAAACCCTGAACCCTAAACCCTAAACCCTGAACCCTAAACCCTAAACCCACATCCTCAGACTCCAGAGGGTGTTGGGGTTTAGGGCGTCATCTCATCTAAGGGCACGGAGAGAGTCTGGAGGGTTGTGTGGGGGCGTAAGGGCTTTTGGGCTTTTGGGGTGCGGGCCTTCAAGGTTTAATGTAGGGGCATTCGTAATTAGACTAGGGCTTTGGGGGTTACATATATTATAGGTCCAACATACCCCAAACCCTGTTCTAATTATTAAGGCACCTACATTAGGGAACATCAGAGTTAGTGGAGGAGGGCACATGATGTAGGCTTAGGGATGAGGGTGTAAGGAGCCCCGTCAGTCGAATATCGTCGTAGTGGCGCTGTTGAGTTTGTATATCCCATTCTTTCTCAGGAGGGAGCCCTAGAAGGGACCCCTAATCCTAATACCCTATATAACCCTTACAAACCCCATATATAGTCTCAAAATGCCCCTATATTACCCCAAGGGTTCCTTTAAGGGTCGCTCGTTTAGCCCCTTGATATCCGATTGTAAACAAGTACAGCAATGGACATGCGACTTTTCGGTGGGGTCTCTTTTATAGGGTGTACTTGAAGGGTCGGACTAGGTATTTTACAGACTTATAAGTACCATATTCATACCTACTTACTAAGTCCCCCGACCCTCCAAGTACCGGTGCCTAGAGGATTCTGTAGGGGCTTGGAGGATCAAACCGGGCTTTAGGGGGTGCCTGATAGTACAACTTCGTACGGACCATCAGGGGCGAAGGTTGGCAGCTGTTCATACCACTACGGTTCATGATATAAATCCTGCATTACCCATAACTAGGAATATACCATGATTCCCATAGTTTAGGGTCTTTAAGCTACTGCAGGATTTGTAGCATCAGCTGTACCACTCGTATGTTGCATGAGCGGCATCGCTGCAGTGCCTCTAGACTAATGCGACTATGGATTATTGGGATTGCGTGTTGCGGAAGCCATCACCGCAGCTGGGAGTGAGCGAACCCCCGGCGCCCAAACCCAGACCACAAAAGCAAAATCAAGGTTTACACTCCCGCTGAAGCTTTATCTTCTGACTAAAAACATAACAAGGATACTAATTAGACATAATATCAATAGCATTAACAACAATCACAATCATCAGCCCTGGCACACTGTGATGGTTGATGAGGCCTTCTGTCTCGGATAGGCTCCTCCCCGAGCGCCAGAGAGCTCTTGAAACGCGAGCTGCGGACCCTGATGCCAAAAAGCCCTGATGCCAAAGACCCTAGAGCCTGAGTACCTGAACATACTACCTGTAGTCTCCATTGTAGCTCCTTTTTTGTTTCACCAATTTTATATTTAGGATTCTATAAGGTAACCCCCGAACAAGGAACTACAATGGAGACTATAGGTAAGCCGAAACCTCCAGCCTGGAATTGAAAACCCCAAGCTCGAATATAGGGGCCGAAACTCAGCCCTAAACCCTATACTAAACCCTAAACCTAAACCCTGAACCCTATACTGAACCCAAGGCCCTGCAGAGAACCCATAGCCGTTGGCAAGGCATTGTTCGGCAGACGGAGGCTAAACTGCGACTGCGAGGAGTCGGGTCTGGCTACTTCGAGGCCCCTGTTTAGGGTGTTAGGTTTTAGGGTTCAGGGTTTAGGGCCTGGGGGTTTTAGGGTTTAGGGTCTGGGGGTTTAGGGCTTTAGGGTTTACGGTCTGGGGGTTTAGGGTTTAGGGGTTTGCGGTTTAGAGATTCCGGGCCCCCTGTGTTGTTTCCCAAAAAAAGCTTGCATAAAGGCTTGATACAGTCAATGTCTACCTGAAGCCGAAAAGACCTACCTTTTCAGAGTTCCGTATCATGATTTCTATATATATATATATATATATATATAGTTCCTTAAACGGGTAGGTCTTTTGGGCCACAGGTTGGGTTTAGAGTTGTTGGGAGGCTTGGGGTTCTAGGGTTTCGAGGTTTAGAGGTTCAGGGGTTTTTGGGGCATAAACCCTAAACCCTAAACCCTAATTATCCGATAGCAAAACTCGACGAAGGAACCCTTTTGGGCCTGAAACAAGCAAAGCTCTGTGTCAGGCTTGTGGTTTAAGGATTTCGGGATTCAGGGATCTGGGCGTGTTATTAGGGTGGAGGGTTTACCTGGGACTCTAATTACCTACAGTTTTATGGGTTCTACCTACTCATTAAGCGGTCATCCTTAAACCCTAAACCTAATGGCTGCTAAACTGTAGGTAAAGAGAGTTGCAGGTATTTTTTGCCGATTTCGAGCTTTGGGGTTTAGGGTCCACCAGGGCTAGAAACTCCGAGAATCAGCCCTCCAGTCGATTTTCTATAGGGTTTGATACATTCACGAATTGACGCTACCATAAACATGAAGTAAGGGTTTAGGGTTTAGGGTTTACGAATTCGCGCCACCATGAGCATCAAGTATTGCAGATGAGCATATTATGATGGCAGCCTAGTTGATATAGAAGCCTAAATAATTACCACTACTAGTTTGGGGCGGTTCCTTATAGTATAAAAAACCCCAAAACCTATTGAAATTTATAGTAGCCCTTATAGAACCCTTTGAGGAACCCTTTAAAGGAGCCCCAAAACCCTATTCTAATTCTTAAGATCCCTATGTTAACATCGTACGGCCGCGAACGAAGAACCCAAACCCGACCACCCGAAGCCCGGACTCCCAGGCCCTGAGTCGTAAATGAGAGTTTCCGAAAATACGGGGTACCTTAATTTGGGCTATAGGATAATTAGGGTTTAGGGTTTAGGGTTTAGGGTTTAGGGTTTAGGGCTGAATTTGGGCTCCTTATAATAAGGATCCTACTATTTAGGGTACTATATTAGGGTCCCCTATTTTCGGAAACCCCCAAATGTATTCCCGCTGTAGGGGCCTTAAAAATTGGGGTTTAGGGGTTAGGGAAACATTCCAACACGGTTTTGGGGTATCTTAGGCTATAGTTTACAATAGGGACCCCCAAAATAGTATAGGTAATTTATTATAAGGCCCGTACATTAGCTGCTGAGAACCAGGTCACCAACTACTGGTTGCAGCAAGACATGTTTCCAGCTTCGATTCCCAAGTCGGGCACAGGAACGGCCTAGACCAGGCCCTACTATACCATACTATACTCTACTACACTACACTACACTACACTACACTACACTACACTACACTACACTACACTACACTACACTACACTACACTACACTACACTCTACTACACTACACTACACTATGCTGGGCATCCTACAGCGCTATGGCTTAGTCGCTGAGGCTCCTCGCCTCCCAATCACTACCTTCTGGGAAGACGGGCGTTGGCACAGGGTTTCGTGGATGGAGCATCCGCCCACGGTTTAGGGTTTAGGGTTTAGGGTTTAGGGTTTAGGTGTTTAGGGTTTAGGTGTTTAGGGCTT